AAGAAAACTCTTTTCCATTTGCTAACATGCATGCTGGCTGCTTTGAAGGCTTTTAAACAAATTATTACAAAGTATTTGTTATTAGCCCTCATGTCTGTAATTATACCATGATGTTAGAGGTGCAGTAACTTACAAAATACATATTTTTAAAACACAGTATAAACTGGCTAATGTGGATGATGCTGGATATGTTGGCAATAACCTCATATATCATTATCATGACACAGATAAAACACAGTTGTATAAGGTATTTTACTATAAAAATAGTTATATTACTGCAGATATTACAAATTACCTGGGCTGGCAAACATTATAAACATTTCAAGAATGATTAATTTCTAAAAATAACAAAGTTAAGAAGAGCTTAGAAGTCAAACTTGAGATTTTTCACAACTAAAAGAAAAACATGCCTTCAGAGAAAGAATTGTATGGGAAAATATTAGGTAGTAAAATGTCATTTTGTATTTTGGACTTTCCAAGTCTTATGTCTTGTTAGCAATTATAAAAAGTATATACAATTTAAAAAAAAATCACTGACATAAAATAATTTACAACTATAAAATACATTAATAATAAAAAGAAAATCATGTAAAAACAGGTAAATACTAAATAAATATGAATCTGATCTTTGTCTGGACCTAAGAACTATTTAGTATAATAACATGAGCATAACAAAAAGCAGATTAGCTTGTAAAGTCCATGAATATAAAAATACATATGTGACTTTAACAATAAATAGATTTTCAGAAAAAAGCATGCATAACGTCTTTCTAGAAGAATATTTAATTCCTATGTTTTTCTGTGAAAATGCTATACAATTTTTTTTTCTGTTTCTCATATTAAGTGCCAATGATCTTGTTTTCCACCTCTTCAGTTGTGACTCTGTTTAAAAAGAAACTTTACTTAAGCTGAGATGTAGTTAAAATATATGAGCACAAGACAAGTCACCTTCAGGACTCCCAAAACTTTGGTGCTTGGGTGAAGTTACATCCTAGGATGAGATCTCCTAGCCCAGTGACCCACAATGGACCCAGATATTCCTTTACTGCCAATGGGAATGAGCTCCAGGGACCTACATTATTATAGTTATTGTTCTGAAATTTTGCTGTTTTTTCTTGCTCCTAACCACATCAGTTAAATGACAAAAAAAAAAAAAAAAGTACACTTTACCTTCATGCAACACTATGATAGCACTAACAAAGATTGGCCACTGCCTTACTTCCTTCTCTTTCTTTTCTGCCAGTTCTCACTGCATTATAGTAGGGGTTTTGTGCTCTACAGGAAGGGGATACAGCCATGGAAAACAGAAAAAGAGAAATACAGAGGTACACAGAGACATAAAATATGAACAGATAAACATAGAACCAGAGACATTTCTTAATTTTAAAAGTTATATATATATATATATTTAATGTTGATGTTCTGATTATTTTATTCTGATTATTCTGATTATTCTGGAGCAATATGATTATTCAATTAACGTAAGCATATTAGAATTAGTTTTTTTAGCTTAGATTCTAATTTTATCAATATAGAGAGACCTGGCAAAGCTAACCCTCGACAATTAAAAGTTACCAACTAAAGAGTGATTTAAGTATTCCTACATTTTGGAAATAATTTAGATTAGACAATAACAATGTTAATAATAATTTTTGTTTAGATACTAGTATTTAGAAACTTCTTGTAAAACTTGAATACTAAGGTTGAAGTAAAGAGAAGATTGTCTTCAAGTCTCAGGTTGAGACTGAGGATAGTTGCATTTTTTGCTTATCTAATGTTTAACCACTTCAAAGTAAATAAGGTGTAGGAAAAAATGGAAGACTTATCAAATACCAACTACTATGTTATAAGTTTTATATATATTATTCCATCCATTACTTAAAATACCCTACAAGAATTTGTACCTTACAGATAACAAAGAGGCTTAAACTTTTTAACGTACTATAAGCTCCTTGAGGAAAGAAATGCAAGTCTTTTGTTCAGTGTTATATCTTTAGTATCAAGCACAGTGTTCTGGCTAAGTTTACTAGTGATAAATGACATAAATTAACTAGTTTACAAAGAAATAGGGTTTCTGAGCTAGTTGGTGGAACAGTTAGAATTTTATCTCGGGTCTTTCAGGTTTCAAAACCCAGTCTGTGTGTCAAAAGAACATGAAAGAGGCAGGTAACCAGTGTTTCTGCCTCAAGTACTCCAAATTAATAGAAGGTCCTTGAATTTAATTTCTCTCAATGTCACTTAGCAGCTATACTATCTCAGTCAAGTTGCTTTACCACTCAATATCTCAATATATTTTTCTGTATAAAGATAACAGTAACAGTAATCACAAATAATAATAAATCCATGTGATTGTATTAAGGATTAATTAAACCAATATCTGAAGTTTATGGCCATAAAATCAAGAGTCAAGATTATTATTTACTTTGGAAGAAGGGATAGCCATAAAAGTTAGTATTCAGAAAAGCTAATATCCAGAGTTCAGGAGGGCAAACAAAGCTGGACATCTCAACAGTATACATGTAGATGCCATCAGAGAATGTTTTAGAAACAAAAGTACTTTGAAAACTATCAGACATTTTAACTCATTCATCTGAGTATTTTCAATCATACATTATTTCTTTAAGCCAGGATTGATGGACACTCTAAAAAGCCCTATCCTGCCTGTTACAATTTACCACTTCATTAAAGGTATGTTCCTCTACTTTTAAGCAAGTAGGATTACAAAGGGCTGTTCATAGAGTACTTCAGTCAAAAGTCAAAAGTGGCAGCACAAAGACTAAGGAGAAGACATTCTATAAAAGGAAAAAAAAAAAAAAACAATATGCATTTCTCTGGTGCTAACTTTTAAAATATCATAGAAGGGAATAAGAATAAAGTTTATAAATAAAAATCCTGAATATTATTTAGTCTACTTTGGTTAAAATTCAAGATAATTTTAAGTAGTCCAAATAAAACAGAAAGGATTACTTTGGTTGTTAACCCTCAAATAGTTTACCAGGGAAATATTCTATGTGTTCTATGAATACATCAGAAGTTTTAAATGAATTTACATACTTCTCAGACTTATCTGGAGATATTCTGGGTGTGTTTGTGTATGTTTCTGTGTGTTTACGATACACACCATGCTCACAATCCAAGACGAGTGATCCATGGTTCAGCCATGTTTGAAGCCCAATAAATACATACAAGATGTCACTTTTTACAACCAAAAAATCTAGCTCTGGAAAAAGATAATCTTTCCCACCATGTCTACTTTTGCTATTTTTAACTACCTTCCTCAAACAAGGGTAATTTTAAAGTGACCATTTGAACAAAAATCATGTATGTGTGTAATTCTTAGTGTGAATATCAAATGAAATAGTTCTCATGGCCGGCTAATTCCTGGTTGTTTTAATTCACTAAAATAAAAATAATCTGGATGGACACAGTATTATGATGAAGAAAATTAACATGTTTGAAGACAAATTTTTCATTCACTGAGCATGGTTTTTTACATAGGATATTTATTTAATCCTCAAAGTAATCTCAAGTAGCTAGTTTTATTTTGCTCTTTTTAAATTAAAAATTAATTTTAATCACCTTTAGATGTATGTATAATTAGAAATGCATTCATTTGAGTGATATGATTCTTATTGCCCCATATAACAAAATGTTTGGTGTACTCATGTATGCGAATGTAAGTGAACCACCAGTATATGAATTAAGAAAACATTTTGAAATTTTTGACAATTTACTTTATTTAAAACAAGGTATAAATAGGATTTTATTCTCATGTTTAAAAATCTACGTACTTTATAACATGTTAGAACTAGATATATTAAATCTGAGGAAATTTAGAGGAAAACTTCAAAAAGGAAAGAAGTTATTTTATCCAGTTTTTCTTTTTCATCATGACAGTAGAATGCAATTCAAATGGAAATAAGCAATTGCATCATTGGTGAACAATGGGTTTCTGTAGACTGTTAAAAACTAAAAGTAAACCAAAGACGCTAAAAATGCATTTCAGCTGCTTGCTACAACTGTAAAATTCTGAAACATCCTAAAAACTGGCAAATACAGCTGTGCCTCTTTTTCTTTCCTATAAGTACTATCAATGTATGAGATAGTACTAAATCATTTTCATCTTAGTGCAAACCCAATGATAACTAGCACAAAACTTTAAATTATAAAAAAGGAACACATGAACATATATATAGACTTAAATTTACCTGTTTTGGAAAGATTCAGCGAATACATTAAGATGTGCAAAATATGTCATTCATCCTTCCATACTGAATGATTATGAATTTTATAAAATTTGCAAAGGCACATGACTTCTATACTATCATATTTATGTAAGAAATATCAAGTTTATTGAATAAAATGAGTTTATAAGTTCATTATGGAGTATATTAACATGTTTCTGCAAAATTACCTTTCTCTAAAAATGAAGGGATATATTCATACTATTCTCTTGGAGGGTTTTTGTTTTGTTTTACATTTTGTTTTTGCAATGAAAGGTATATGACAAAAACAATTTCACTCTAAAGAGAGGTTAGAGTTTATACTTTGTGTATTAAAGATTGTATGAAATAGTAACTCTAAAAAAATGATTACTTAGTCTGGGAAAGCAGAGTTTCTTTCATCATTTTTCTAAATGTTTATACCTTTTACATTCAAATTTCTTTAAGCACAAAAACATGTAAGCCCAAAAATTCACAATGATATAATACAGCTGATTTTCCATAAGTGTGATAAAACAAAAAAATGCAGTTTTTAAAAATTAAAAATAAAAATAGCAAAACCGTTTGGTTTTGCAAACATTTCATAGGCACTTTAAGAAATTCAATTGAAAAGTTGTATTTACCATAGCTAAAATTACACATATGGTACTTACTCATTTTAATATATGATTTTTAAAAAACTAGAAATTATCAGAGCAAGGTTTTTGGAGAAAAGGTCTAGCATGAATAAGTGAAATGACATTAAGCATTATATAAAAATCTAGTTAAAGATCTTACCATGAACTATTGGTGCTAAGAGCATCAAGAAGGTTAGTAGCTGTGATGACCACATGGCTGTGGGCTTGGGCGTGAGAATTCCTCAAGAATGTATGTTTCAAACGTGAAACAAAGTCACTGTGTTTGTGGTTCCTCTTCTGTACTCCAAGATTGATAATTAAAAATTAAAACAAAATCAAAAAGTAAAAGAAAAGTTCCTCAAAAATTGAAACACCAATATTCCAAATATGAAACCTGCAAAAAAGAAGAAAAAAAAGGGGGTGTGGTGGTTATCAATTAGAAGGTATTCTTATTTTAATTCCCTGAAGAATTGCTTTATTTCCTCTTTAAACACCTGTTTTTTGTTCCCATCTTTTTTGTGTACTGGGGATTGAACCCAGGGCACTCTACCACAGAACTGCATCCCAGGACCTTTTTACTTTTTATTTTGATTTTGAGACAGGATCTTGCTAAATTGCCAAGGCTAGCCACAAACTTGAGATTCTCCTGCTTCAGCCTGCCTAGTCTCTGGGATTACAAGCATATACCACTGCATTCAACATTTTTTCAACTGAAGAGCCTAAACATCAACATAAAATGAGTAAATAATCTAAAAACATTTTTATGCATGTATTACCATAGTTTTTATACCTCAGACTCAAACCATCTCTACTGGACAGATTAATTTAAATATACTAATTTTAATATGTATAAGGAGACTTGAGGACTGCTTTTCGTAAGTATTTTCCATACATATATAATTTTACTAACAGAATAGTAAAATATCATCATTCACCAAATATAATTTTTACTAACATTAAAATAGTAAAATATTTTCATTCTTCACTATTACTATAAGTTTGAAAGGGAAAGTTAAGTTACTTTCATTTTAGGCTCTTATATTCTTTCAGAATTTTCCTACATGTTAACTACATTACTTTTCTAAGCATTTTATAACAATTGTGATTACAGATTTATAAAAGATGCTACTTTTATGTTTGATTGTCTAAAATCTCAATACTGAAATTTAATGCATGATATAACCTAAATTACAATTTTAAAAATTTTATTAAAATGTGCTTCCAGCCAGGTGCAGTGGTGCATACTGTAATCCCAAACATCTCAGGAGACTGAGGCAAGAGGATCTCAATTTCAAAGCCAGCCTCAGCAACTTAACCTTTATCATATCAAAATTACAAGTTTATCAAACTATTTTATTTTTTTGTTCACTTAAATCCCAGTAGTAAGAACACAAATTCTTAACTACCTGATCTCAATTACTGTTCTAGAACTGTGACCTCCAGTAAGTCACTTAATGACTTGGTGCCTCAGTTTCCCTGTTTGTATAAAGGCGGAAGTAATGTTATGTAATTTATAGGGTTATACAAATATTAAGTGAGTTGAAACTAGTAATTTTATATTATATACCACACATTAAAATGTGTTTTATCCAGAGCAATGTTGTCATGGACTAAATATTATATGATTAATTTAATTTAATATTTAATTATGATGATTATATTATGTAAATTATGAGAATGAACAGATTGCTCATAACCTACAAGAAAGTATACCACTATTCACAGAATACTTTTTTTTAGAAAAGTAAACTTTTTAGGATGACTTCTTCCAATTTATATCTTGTCATTAACTTTACTAAACCAATCAATTTTTATATAACAGGGACATTTTAATTAAATCATTTCTAAAGCAAAGTTCTTAATATACATAAAAAAACAAGCAAAGATATTAGGGATGCACTAAGTCACATAAGACAGCATCCAATGTATCCATGATTTATTAAAAAATATTGCATAGTCATAAACATATAGTAATGCTTCATAATCTTGCCCTACAAGGTGATGTTGGACATTGATCCCAAAAATGCCTTCCTAATTTTACTCAGCAAAAAAAGATAATAAAATCATGGCATTTGCAGGTAAATGGATGGCCTTGGAGAAGATAATGCTAAGTGAAGTTAGCCAATCCCCAAAAAACAAATGCTGAATATTTTCTCTGATATAAGAAGGCTGACTCATAGTGAAGTAGGGAGGGGGAGCATGGGAGGAATAGATGAATTCTGGTTAGGGAAAAGGGGTGGGAGGGAAATGGAGGGGGCAGGGGATTAGCAAGGATGGTGGAATATGATAGACATCATTATCCAAAGTATATGTATGAAGACACGAATTGGGTGTCCACATATTTTATATACAGAGATATGAAAAATTGTAGTATATATGTGTAATAAAAATTATACTGCATTCTGTTGTGATTTTTTAAAATCAATAAAAAAATAAAGTCTAAAAACAAAATTACGTTAAAAAAAACTGCCTTCCTAAAAAGCCACTTTACATGGAACACTCCTTCCAATATGAAATGGAATCTCTATGATACATTAATTCATCAGGAAAAGGAGCACGGCAGCAAGATGAAAATTTAAATGACTATAACTCGTCTTCTCCCATCACTATCAAAGTGTTAATATGTTTCATATGACAAGAATGAGGCAGAAACACAATGAGTCTCAAAGGAGTTTAGACTGAGTAAAATATACAATGAGCTCAAAATGCTAGTTAAAGTTTTCAATTCTGAGAATGTATAAATATGGTTTTCCTTTAAAGTTTTCTTATTTGTTAAATAAGTATATTTATTAGTTCTCAATTGGGAGAGTGTGTGAGGCTATACGATGGAGTTGTAAAGCATGATGAGTTTGGATCCTACTATTTTTCATAGAAGTTTTTATACATTAAACAGGTTCTCCTAACAATTTGACCCCGAAAATCACAGTAAGGTTCAAGGATCTTTCCTATATTCTAATATTTATGAGACCAAAGAACATTGTATGAAATAATTACTAATAAAACACTTAACCATTGAGACTAGTTAGTTGTAATAATGAGTTGAGTGTTCTAATAATGAATGCAATCTTGAACAGTTCTATATCATTTTGAACACTCATAAAGGACAGATTCATTGAATTCAACAAATTCACTCACGTATTTTTTTTTTTTTGTCAATTTGATTCAAGTGTTTGCTGCATTTGGTTACTGGGGTTTGTGATATATAAAAGGCATGATTCTTACATTGAAATGGGGGGAAAAGGAGGAGGAGGAAGAGGAAACAATGAGGACAGGGAGGAAAAAAAGGACAAGAGATAATGCAGGATAGGCAAAGATTAAAATATAAATCATAATTTATGATCTGTAAATCAAATTTTTAAAAAAGAAACAAAGTGTTATAAACAATACAGATGATAACACTGTGTGGTTTATCTGGAAAACCTGCAAGAAGAGAGGAGAAATTGTGCTAGAATTTGAATAATGGATGAGACTCCCCTGAACTGTAGTTGGACAAAGAACACTCTGGATTAAGGATTGTTATAGTAAAGACAAAGGTGGTTAAAGACAGCATGTTGTAGAACGGCAAGTCATCTAGTTTGTCAGGATTAAGTAAGCACCCTAGAATGTAATAATACTAAGGATCCATTCAGATAGAACAGAAATGAATCAAATGCAATACAAAGAAATGTGAATTCAACTTGATTTGAGTGCAAATCGGGCGATTTGTGACATATAATCGCATGAAACATCCATACATAGAAATCACCATAACCTCTGTCTTAAAAAGGAAAAATATTTACATTGAATATATTCCAAGGAATTTTTTAGTTCTTCTATATTGATACCAAACATGCAAACACTATTTTTTAAAAATTATTTAGTATACCTGATAGTTATTTTGAGATAAGGAGCTTGATTAAATTGAATAAATACCAGAAATTGGATTACTAAACGAGTCATTAAATTAATAAACCAACTATTATTTATGATACCTAGTATGTCACTACATGAAAAATAATGCAGGCTTTGCATTTACATAATAAGGCACCATGGTCAGAGTTCCAAATTTGCATAACACTGCTTAGTAACCATTATGCTATTTCAGATCAAATATTAATTTCTGAGAATTACCAACACTTTTAGATAGAATGGTATTTGTTATGCATTTGGCAGTGACCATTTATCTGCACAGATGTATATTTTATAATGTATACAAGTTAAATACAACCTGGAAGAAATTCACAAATACAGTAAATATGTATTGGCCTTAACCTATATCTGAATGTGATAATAATTTCTTAGTTCTTTATGTCTGCAAAATGTCCTTACTTCCTTAAAAAATAAGATCTAGGCTACCATCATAAAGTCTAAGCCAGAAGCTGGGGATGTAGCTCAGTTGATAGAGTGCTTGCCTTGAAAACACAAGGCCTGGGGTTCAATTCCCAGCACCATCACACACACACACACACACACACACACACACACACACACAAGTCTGAGGCATGAGCAACAGCATAAACAGTGTGAGAAGTACCTAATTTTAAATCCTATTTGCACTGTTAGCTGTCTGACCACAGTAAATTATCAAAAATTGTTATATCCTAATGTGTAAATCTGAATTTCATACTTTTTTTACCAGGTGTTTTAAGGCTTAAAGAAAGGTAACACATATAAAGAACCTATAAAGATTCCTAGAAAGAGTATAAACTCAATAAATTAGAAAAGTTCTTGTTCCCATTTAATGACGGGATTTATTTTCAAAAGTGGGGTTATAAATGGTAAATGAGATTACATTTGGTATTAAGTTGGGTAGAAGAACATTTGATAGGAGTTTGTGAGTGGCTGAGTGGAAAAGTGGATAGAATCAGAAGCTACATTGTAAACACCATGCTTTTAGAAGATTAAATTGGTCATAGCATATACAAGGAAAATGGGGAGAGAAGAAAAATACCTTAGGTAAGCAGTGTCAGCAACAATATTTGCCAGAGTTAGTTTGGTGGGAGTTCACAGTGTTCTGATTTAAAATATAGATTATTTTGAGAAAGTCAAGAAAAACGAGTTTTAGAAATATTTCTGTTCTATGATTTGTGTGAAAGGAAAAACAAATCGGCAGGGAAAAAAATAGAATGGATATAGAAGATACAGTAAGAAGATTCAAACTGGGAATGAGCAGACAAGCTCAGTAATAAAGCAAACCATCAACTAAGAACTTTGGTTCTATCCTTCCCTCAGTCCCACCCCCACTGTCTCCTCCATGGGCTCCAGAAGATTACTGCAAGAAAGATGGGTTTCTATTCAATTAATCATAAGGTTAATTTGAATTTTATTTCTATTCAATTAATTTTAAGTTAGCGTTAATTTTAAAGTTACTTAAATATGTTTTAAGAAATGAAATGATAAACTATTATACCAGTT